TCTCTTCCAGTCACAGGTCTCCTCCAGTCACAGGTCTCTTCCAGTCACAGGTCTCTTCCAGTCACAGGTCTCCTCCAGTCACAGGTCTCCCAGGGCTCCCAGAGAGGTTCTGTGGAGGATTTGCAGACTCGGTTCAGACTTGAGCAGAATCATCTGAACTTCTTCTGTCTGTTGCTTTATGTTTTTCTCTGCTGACTTTGTCGGGTCCTTATCTGTACTTCCTTGTTTTCCCGTCAGCTGGACCGTCTGTAAATAGAAGCATTCAGCCATTTAACCTCTAGATGGCAGTAAATTCTTCATAGGTTGATCTTGTAAAGAAATGGATGTTTTTAATGAGCTGACTAGCATAGCGCCCCCTCCAGGACGGCTGATTCTGGGTCAGCGCTGCTGCTCAGAACTAAAGGGCGCTCCTCCATCAAGGTTCCTGATTGTTTTCCTCCAAGGTTCCCTCTGGGGGCGGAGGGGGTTGTGGTGGTAACAGGAGCCGCGGTGGGGCGGTGGGCGGGTCATTAGGAATGAGTTTTAACCGCCGCTCTCCTCCGTGTCCCTCAGCGAGCGCGTCCAGGCGCTGCGTTTCCTCCAGTTCACCAGGCAGCTGCTGTCCTGCTCGGCCGACGGCGGCATCGCGGTGTGGAACATGGACGCCCGCAGAGAGGAGGTCTGCATCCCTGCTGCAGCTTTGAATGGTTTGATGATGCAGCGCCAGGTCATCTAGTCCTGCTTGTTCCACAGGCGCCGCAGTGGTTGGACAGCGACTCCTGTCAGAAGTGTGAGCAGCCATTCTTCTGGAACATCAAGCAGATGTGGGACACTAAGACCCTGGGACTGAGACAGGTACTGTCCCCAGAGGGGGAGGGTTGTTGTCCCCCTTTTGAGCCTTGCTCATGCATCCATGTGTTCTGTTTGCAGCACCACTGCAGGAAGTGTGGGAAGGCGGTGTGCGGGAAATGCAGCTCCAAACGCTCCACCTTCCCAATCATGGGCTTCGAGTTCCCGGTGCGCGTGTGCGACGCCTGCTTCGACTCCATCAAAGAGGAAGAGTTAGTGTCGGCCTTCTCAAAATACTGCCAGGCTTCCCTCGGGGCATCCTGATAAAAAGCTGTCGCTGTGTGTCTGTGCTGCAGTCGGGCGCCGCTGGCCACCTTCCACGAGGGGAAACACAGCATCGCCCGCATGGACATGGACCCGTCCAGAGGCCTGATGGTCACGTGTGGAAGCGACCGCATCGTTAAGGTCAGAGCTTTTCTTTCACTGCTGTCTCAATCCTTAGAAAATGTTCCCCCAGTCTGGTTGGAAGTTGGATTCTGTCTTAGATGAAGCTGAAGCGTCTCCTCTGGGTCTTTGCTCTCCTCAGAAATGAATGAAATGAGCTTCAACCCGGTTCTGACTCGTCCTCATCGGGTCACATTCAGAATATCAAACGTCAGTGTTCTAGTCAGTGATCTGAATCTGAAAATTCTCCGGGTTCAGAGTAGAAATGGCTGCAGCACTCTGACTGGACGACCAGCAGGCCGTTCTGGTTTCACTGGACTTTTTCTAATGCATCAGAATCCCAGTTTGGACTAAAAGGTCCAAACATCTTTCTGGTTCCTTCTGACCAGCCCAAGAGGAGAAGCTGTGAAAGATCTCCTAGCTGCAGCTTTAGCTCCATCATTTCTTTCCTGTGTTTTAATGTTTTGTAAATAAAGTTGGAATAAAAAAAGTCCCTTTGGATGTCCTGTCCAGCTGTCCTAACTCTGACCATGTCCATCTCCGCAGATCTGGGACATGACACAGGTGGTCGGCAGTGGCTTAGCAACAGGCTTCTCCCCGCGCTGATTGGCTCGGACCACTACACCCCACCCCACAGCCCCACCCTCCTCTTTCTGCTTCCTGACGGTCGACAGAGACTCTGACTGATGTGGACTTTTGTTCTGGTCTCAAACAGAACCCGAAGCACAATGAATGAATGAATGAATGAATGAATGAATGAATGTCAGTGTGAGTGTGTGTGGCGGGGGGGCTAATGTTTACACTGCAGTCATCCCATTACTCTTTGATAAAGGTCTTTTTTCCCCATAAAGCCTGACTTGCTGCTTCAAAGAGGAGCTAACATCTAGCACCTAACGGCCGGGCGCTAACATCTAGCACCTAACGGCCGGGCGCTAACATCTAGGCGATGGCGCTATGATCTTTGAGCTAACATCTAATAGTTAGTCGCTGGGCGCTAACAGCTAGGCATTAACATTTAAAAGTTAACATCTAGGTGCTAACTTCCAGGGGCAAGCCGCTAATGGCTAGGCACTAGCAACTAGGAGCTCACAGCTGAATGCTGGCATCTAAGAACTAACCATTTGGGACTAACATCTAGGAGCTAACTGCTGGGGGCTATCATTTAAGACAGGGGTGCCCAAGTCCAGTCCTCAAGAGCTACCATCCTGTAACTTTTATATGCATCTCTTCTCTAGCACACCTGAATCTAAAGCCGCAATCCCCCATTAGCTCATCAGAGGCATGGTAACGAGCATTTGATTCAGGTGTGTTAAAAATGGTTGCATGAAATACTTGCAGGATAGTAGCTCTTGAGGACTGGACTTGAGCACCCCTGATTTAAGAGCTAACTGCTAGGGACTAGCATGTAGGAGCTAACCGCTAGACGCTAGCATGTAGGAGCTAACTGCTAGGTGCTAGCATGTAGGAGCTAGGTGCTAGCATTTAAGAGCTAACTGCTAGGCGCTAGTATGTAGGACGTAACCGCTTGGCGCTAGCATGTAGTAGCTAAACACTAGGCGCTAGCATCTAAGAGCTAACTGCTTGGCGCTAGGATGTAGGAGCTAACCGCTAGGTGCTAGCATCTAAGAGCTAACGGCTAGGCGCTAACCTCCGTACTCCAAGGCTGGTCCCTGTAGATGCTCACGCTCTCCGTTTGCACATCCCTCGTTCACCAGCGGGCCTTACGTCTCAGGAGGTTCACGTCACCGTCGCCACCCGTCGGTCCTGATGGTGTCTGTCGCTATGGTTACTGGACATATATCTGATGGTTAGATTATCAGATATTTGCCAGGCATCAGTGAACCCCCGTCAACCAGATGTGGAAGTTGGACTGGGTTTCCATAGCAACAAGCATAGTGGTCAGCGGCATGCAGAGACCTGATGAAGGACCCGATTGTTCAGCTCAGGATGTCGGAGGATAAAGCTGTCCTCCAGAGACGCTGAAAGAAAGAGCCAGCTCCATAACCGTCCATCCTGTCCCTCAGATCGTCCTTCTCCACACGTGTCCCAGGTAGAGCCAGGAGTATCTAGCAGCAGTAACCGTCCTACCTGGACCGATTGTCCCTTCTGTCCCCCTCCTCCTTTTTCTTGCTGCTGTGTTTCAGATCTTTAGTGTTTATTTCTGTTTGTGGTAGAAGGTGTCGACGCTCTGGATTTGTCATTTCCTGCTCCCAGAGACGTCTAGATTCCTGTTGGACTTTAAAACCACTTCTTTCCATTTTTTCCAAAGACGTGGAGAACGGATGAACCCATCACCTCATCCGTTCATCCAGGAAGGGCTGGTTAATAAAGTGACTGCAGAACCTGGACCAGTACTGAGACCCGACATCTTCTAGTCTGAACAGATCAGCGGAGCCTTTAGAACCAAAATGGAGGCATCTTCTAGAAGCTTCTGTTGGTTTTATATTTGGCCAAATTAAAGCTAGATCTCCCTTAAAATGCTGCCGTGCAGCTTTAGTGAACCTTCTTCCCCAAACATTAAAACATTAAAGTTCTGTGGGTTCAGGCTGGAAGCCGCCATCTTCTTCCTGGTTTTTGGGATCAGACTGGGAGCAAAGGTCAGCAGCGGTGATATTTTAGCCTGCTTTAAATGGACGTCTGGGTGGTCTTCTCTTGGACCAGCTGTTGGCTGCAGCTGATCTGGACTCAATGGAAAAGAAAATGGCAGGAGAGCCGTTCCCTCCCTCCCTTCAGAGGAGGCCTTAAATCTGCTGCATGGCGTGAAGATCAGCAGCTCCATGATGAACCTTTGATTGATCCATCTTCATGAGAAACACGGATCTGCAGTTTAGTCTCTTCTTCTCATCCTTTATTAATCATCACATCCACGGGGTGGACCTAAAACTGACCTTCATCTTTCCAGGAACCTGAAAGGAAGGAAGCGGCGGGTTCGGTGGTCCTCCTCCTGCTCTCTGGTTCCCAGAACCTTCCTTCCCTCCAGCTCATAGTTAAACCTTCTGTGCTTGTAAAAACCTTCCATTCCTACAGGGTTGTTATTAATGTACATCTGCAAATATTTTGAAAAGTTTTTGTTGGTAATTGGAGCAGACGTGGGCGTCCATGTCCTCTGAAACTCCTAATAAACACTTTGGATTCCTTTGACTTGTTGTTTTTATAGAGAAATGAGACCAAGCAGAACAAAACATTTTAAACGTTTTTATTGATGCAGGTTTTTACAGAATCAGGGAAGGAAAAGTTAGGTGGAAGGAAAAAAGCTGTCTGAGCAAATATGGACTCCCAGATCTGTGACTTCATAGCTGCATATGTGGAGTGATGCCGCCGCGCGGCGTTGGTCTTGCACTGCTGTAGCTCCATGCAGACGGGTTACTGACGAGGGTTAGAGGTTTGACACACAGATGTCAGAGAAACAGCAGCCTGCCTGAAACACGCCGGGACTGCAGCCGGATCAGATTCCATCTGATGCGCCGTTTCTACGTCCCATCCTGGTGTTTGGCTTCAGAAAGCATCGCTGTCAAACACTGATGCACAGCAAGAAAAGCCGGTTAGAAAGCGTCCAGTCTGCTGCTTCTGCAGGACCTGCTCTGTTGCTCCCCCAGAGGGTGGAGCGGGTAGAGCGGGTGGAGTAGATCTCCCTGATCAGCAGAGGCTGTTAGTGGGGGGGGGGGTGTCTCAGTGGGGAGCAAACGTCTTGGCCAGGTCCTCCAGCAGTGACATGAGCTTCTGCTCCTCCAGGGGGGAGCTGTGGGTCCAGGCCAGCGGCAGGTGGGTGGACACCACCTTACGGTCTGAGGACACACACACACACAGGTCTTAACATAGATCTTCTTCTCCTAGAGCTTTTACACATTTCCTGACATTAAAACCCTCCAAATAACTGAGTCGAAATGATCAGTGGCAAATATCTGATAAATTAGACCAAGATGTTGAACCGATGTTGACTAATCATTTCCATCAAGTTAGACAGTGTCTCTAGAACCGCAGAGACAGACTGTCTCTAAAAACCGTCTTCATTCAGATTCGTCTGAAATTATCAATAACAGGTCATGAGAACCAGACCACCTCCAGACTGGTCCTCCTCTTTAGTGGCCCGTCCACGTTTAGATGCACCACTCACTTTGTTCTGCGTATCTCCAAAGATGAAAGTTAGGATTAGGGACGGTCACAGTGGGACGGTCACAGTGGGACGGTCCTTTTTCAGCAGATCAGATTTCTATTTTATCTCATTATTCTAATCAGGTCCTGCTGTCTGTGCTGGACTGGTTTGGAGTTTCTGACAAACGGGAAACACTAGAGACCAAAGCAAACAAAGACCAGGATGATGTAGACCTCAGGTCATCCAAGGACTTCCTGTCTTTGGTTGTAAGACCAGAACCAAACTGGCAGCCTGCTAAGATCCGGAACCAACTGGCTGAAAACTTTAACTCAGAACTGAAAATGGCAGCTGAGGTAGACCATCGAGCCCTGAAAACTGCAGCTGAGGTTGACCATCCAGACCTGAAAACTGCAGCTGAGGTAGACCATCCAACCCTGAAAACTGCAGCTGAGGTAGACCATCGAGCCCTGAAAACTGCAGCTGAGGTAGACCATCCAGCCTGAAAACTGCGGCTGAGGTAGACCATCCAGCCCTGAAAACTGCAGCTGAGGTAGACCATC